CGGTGAATACAGCAAGGGGCTGTGGTAAGAGGATGGCTTTACCAAATAAAGGAACACCTCTGGTATACAAGATTGGATAATAGAAAATCTTGTAACATAGTACGTAATTGAGGACTAATTAGGAAGGTTGAAATTGAGATACAGATTGTATTACGGCCGCACCCCAAAAGGTGGCGTAAGATACGAACACAATGGCGGCAGTCAATATGTACTAATTGGAAGGAAATTACAAAAAATAATTACATAGTGGGACGTGTAATGGTAGGTTACTCCAACCGACCCTAGCTTGAAGTTGGCTTAAAATAGTTAATGGAAAAGTAATATAGGGAAATTAAGGAGTATAATGCCACATTGGATAACTAGTAATAGTAGCACAAATGTAATTAGAAACTGTATATACAATTGTTCTGTAAGGTATTTATCATAACTAATAAAGTTTTTACGTTGGCAATATAAAAAAAAAAAAAAAAAAAAATATAATAAGTTTGTAAACTTCATTAAAAAATTTTTTAATAAAATTTATATTAGTAGTATACTATATGTAGTACACTAAAATTTGCAAAAAATAGCAGTTAAAAAAAATTTTTTTAAAAAAAAATTTTATTAATATTAAAAAAAAAACCTGCCAAATTATACTTTGGCAATTATCAGATTTTTGTATATAAAAATTTTTCAGATAGATAATTTTTTAGATTTTTAACCTATTCTTTTAAGTGTACTATACTGGTAGTACAAAAGCCTAAATCCTATCCATTAAAAAATATAAAATTGGCATAATAAATAATCACGTGCTTTCTGTAGCATTTCAAACCATTCTGATTGGTTAAAAAAATTCTACATATGGGACATGCTTAATTTATTTTTCTGTACTGTATATAATTTTTTTCAGAGAAAATCAATATAGGTGTTTTACTGCGGAAATTCGGATTATCGAAATTGCAACCCTACACGTGAATAATAGGGGCACATACGTAACACAAGGCTCAGATATATACCAGCGTATTAAAATTTGTTGATCTTGCTATAAACTCAATAAGATTCTAAAATGGAAGAGTACAAAGTTAACGTTGGCGGTAGAATTTTCCAATTTTCTATTGATAAGTAAGTAGTAAGTACAATGTGCATTATCATAAACAGTATTAGAGGTCTAAAAAAAAACTATTTTTTTCAGTTTAACGCGTGATTCACCGAATCTTTTGACCGAACACTTATTGTCAGTATCAGAGTCTCAAGACGAAATTTTTTTTGATCGTGATCCCGATGTATTTGAATTTATAGCCAAACATCTAAGAGGATATAACATCTTTCCATTAATAAAAGAAAACTTACCTGTAGGCTGGAATCTTTGTAATTTCATACAATGTTTAACGCAAGATGCGTGTTTTTTCAACCTTAAAGGACTTTTCTTCTCTATTCGTCCATTTTATTACTTTGGCGCTAGCCCAGCTGCTATAGATATTTTTTCTCGTGAAGAAAAGATTGTTTTCAATTTTCAAAAAGTCAATCCAACCACACTTCATATTGAAAATGATGATGTCATGCTCATCGTTCAAGATAAACACATTAAAGCCGAATTTTTTACTGGAAATATAGTTTGGGATTTAATTTCGGATAATAATTGGGAATTTAAATTTCTTAATAATTTGGATAATGTAATTCTTAAGAAAATTTCTAAAGAGTTTCGACCTCAAGCTGATCAAAATGTTGAATATTATATTGGTGAATCTGATGGAGCATTTTTTTCTATTGATGATATTGAGATGAACGGAAATGAAGTTTATGATCATACTGTGGAAAGATCTTTTCCACTTCAACAAACGAATCGACCTTTTTTCTGTGTAAGAATATGGTTAAAAAAGTTGGTATTTTCTTTACGAATACCGAATGACCCGAATAAGCCATTGATTATAGTACCTATATGGGGCATTGGATTTACGCAAATTTATCACAAGTCTTTGAAATATGTAAAGTTTTTCTAATCGGTAAGTCTCTTATTATAAGTTGAAATAAATTTAATTATCATTTTAAAAATTTCTAATTTATTAAATCGTATATATGCTTATTATTTCTAATATTGTAGAATCAAGATAAAATAGTTCTAATGTAGTAAATGAAAAAAAATTTTCTGTTAAGATATAATTGTAGTAACATTTTATTTGGAATCTGTTAGGGACAGACTAATAAATTGTTGGATATCGGCTTATTTTTTATCATTTTATTTTTCAGTTAAATAAACAATAATAAATTCTATTCATAAAATATACGTATTCAATAGTAAACTATTAGTTTTGGTAATCTGAATTAAATTTCATTATTATTTACTAGTTGTTCTATTCTTTTAAAAACGCTTGTTGGCAATCCTACGACATTATAGTAACATCTATCATTTGATAATTAAAAAAAAAAAGAATATCTTAAAATTGAAAGAATCGGATGTGCAGTAGTAAAAATATAATTTATGTTATATTCACCCATTAATCTTTTCAATAAATAAGCTACCAAGTGCTTGAATTCCGTATGATCCTTTTAATCAATTTTTAATATGATCACATCCAGAAGGAATAATGAAAAAAGATTTAATTTGTTAGTATTTCAAATTGTTATAGAAAATTTGATTAATCAAAAAACTTGATCTTTTTAATTTTTCATACCAGCTTTATCCATAGGTTCTCCAGTATCGATATAAGCCAAAAAATCTTCTTCACTATTTTTTCTAAACACAACTTCGGTGTTCTCGATTAATGTTGAAATTGCATAACTAGATTCAAATTTAGGATAAATTAATGCTATTCCAGTGTAAACGCAATGTGAATTTCCATTTAATTTTTGAAGTGTATTCATTGCATCTTTTTTATCTTTTGGCTTTTCTAATATTTCTCCATTAAAAACTACTACAGTATCTGCTGCAATTACTAAATCTATTTTTTGGCCTTCTTCCTTTGTAAATTGGACAAACAAATTCATTTTTTCTTAGAAAAAAATTTTTTGATATTAACTAACATAAGATTAAATAATCATGATTACTTACTAATAAACGTTTGTATACTTCTAATCCTTTCTCTGTTGCGTTAGCTATAACATATTCTAAAGGTGAATATTTTGATTTATCCAAAGTTTCGGGAAATTTGCTTGAAACAACGTCAAAATTTAATCCCTAAAAACCAACCATTTTTACATCACCAAAAGAAAAACTAAAGACAAGATCATTATTGTTTTTTAGGCAACGCATTATTAATACCATATTTGAAAGAATTTCTTTTCTTCTTGGAGATCCTGATGCGAGAACAATGCGCTTATCTTTAAGTTTATGCAGAAATGGAAAAGCCATTTTGTTATGGAAATTAGATGATGTTCTGCGTAAGATTTTTATACTGATGTCTGAGTTACATGTTGCATAACACAGCTTTTTATCTTACCAAATTTGGTATATATGTATTCGCTTGCAGTTTACGTATACGGTTTTTATTATTAAAATTTATGAAATACAAATAAAAAAAAGATAATTTATCGCCCAACTTATAGTGCTTTTAATTATTAATATCATTATTTACACCATTTAAATTATCCACCTTCTTCATCAAAACTCAAAAGTGTTTTCTTTGTTTTTTTAAGTTTAGGTTTTTTATCTGTACTAACTGATGTATCAGTTTCATTCTTACTAATTCTTTTACGTTTCATTCCGTCAATAACTTCATTAACAGCTTTTATAGAGTCAGATTTACTAGTTTTAGCCTTTGATGAACCCACGACAGTATCTAATTTATTATTTTTTGATTGTTCTGCTTTGTTTTTCTTTTTTGGTTGACGAAAAAGAAGTTTTCCAGTTTTCTCATCAATAGCTGGTGAATCTTCTTGACTTTCCTCTTCTTCCGACGAAGATTCTTTAAAAGAAAAAAAACTTTTTTTAAGTCGTTCACTTAATTAATGATAATAATTAAATAAAAGAAAACAGAAACCTTTTTTTTCATTTTTTTCCTTTGATTCTAAAATTTTTTTCACTTCTTTTTCACTCAAATGTTTTCCTTCTTTTAAAACAACAATTTGTGGTCTTTCTTCTTCTCTCTTAGCATTTAATTCATCTAATTCATCCGATGATTCACCATTATCGTCTTCATTTTCAAGCTTTGCCTCTTCGTCCGGTTTGGTTAAACCTCTTAAAAAAGGTGGTGTCTAAAAATAATGTACGATTCTTTTTTTTAAAAAAAAAATTTTTTTACATATTCTTTCGATACCTTCATTATTAAATTCATACCGGTGCATCATATGTTAATCCCCGTGAGAATTGATATGGAGTCATTTTCTTTGGTGGCATGTTTAAAAATAAAATAAAAAAAACTCGAATCTTAAATTGTGCGTACGTACGTAAGATAACTGATAATACTTTTTAGTGTAAATTTGCAAATCCGGTCAATCATTTTATAATGATATTTATGCCGCAGTTGAACTGAATTTAGCTAATACTAATATTAATGGTGATACGTATTCGTTAAGGCATTACAGCATTAAAATTGCCCAGACCCATGATCAACATAATTCGCCCCGGCACTATGAAAATTTTTTATGCCGTCACTTTGTCCTTCAGTAGGGTTGGAAATTACTGTAATTTTACGTAAGTTTGTATAAGTTTCTGAAATCAAAATTACATGTAATTTTTATCATGTGAATAATTTTGGCAAAAGTTTTTATAAAGGTGGCATTAAGCCGAACATAATGATGGATATCTTGTAACGTGCATTTAAAATGTAATTTTGAACCCTATATTCCTGAACACCTCCATTTTTTCATTGCTTATACCTTCTTTTATCGCTAAAACTGCTGAAAGTGCACAACAATATGCATTTACAGCAAATTGTCTTGTCCTACGATTAAGATGCTAAGGGCTCAGGATCAAATGAATCTAATAACCATTTGATATTATCACTGATTTCTTGCGCAATATACTTTTGAATACTATGAATAACTTACGTTTGAAAACCCATGACTGATCAGTAGTTGCAACATTCCAGTACCTCATTTCGAAAACTTTTAGAGCCTTTTCATTTATTTCTAAATCCATTTCTTTAATGGCCACGGTACCTAGCGAAGGAGATGTTGTTCAATACATTCGATTCGAACATAATGATTTCCTATTGACTCGTCAATTATGGAAATTCCATTTCAACGGCGATTTTGAAGGTTATAGAAGAACCTGGAGCTGGTTTTATTTTCATATGTTAAACCTGATTAATATCAAATTTAAAATATGAGAAATCAAATTAGTGTCTATATTCTAGTCAAACCTACACAATTATCATCATTGGAAAGCTTCCTCACATATGTACGTAGTTGGGGATATTTATTTTCTTTTTGAGTGGGTATCAATAATTCCGTCAATATATAAATTGTAAAATTTCATCATTCAAAAAAATTCAACTGTAGAAGGTAAGAATTTCTTGAAAAAAAATTTCAGTTGTAGAGAAGAATTGGTCTTTATTTAGGCAGAGGCAAAAATCTACTATATTCTTGATGATGTTCTCAAGGTCGGTCAATATTATTTTGTGTGGGGAATACCAGGAGACTCGGGTACTAATTTCGGGGAGATGATGTTATAATCGGAAGATATTTTATAATACTATACCCGAATCTTTTGAATCATGAACCTATGATTTGTACCCGCGTCTTTTTTGCGGCAGGAGTAATACAAACTCCTAAAAGGAAATGGCCAATCAGAGAGCACATTTCTGACTATTCCGGATCAACCCAAAAAAAAGTTTGGTAAATTAGCAAAAAAATCAATTACCGTAAAACTTTGAAAATAAGCACAATCTTGTGATCACCGGATAATGCAATTTTAAAGGTATTTATTGTACATATCAGATAAATAGTTAATATGATATATATTAGAATTTCACAAAGATTCTTCTAAAATATGAAAAAGAATTTCAAGGCAATTTTACAAGTTACACTTAAATTTTACACGATTATTGGGATGGTAACTACTTTTAGAATTTTTGCCTTTTTACATTATGACTGCATTTCATATTACTTATCGTTATGTGTGATTATAACTTTTTATATAGAATCTAATTAGGGAATTTCTCAGGCTTTAAATGAAAATTGAACTATATATAATTTCAAGAACACCTAACATACATGCAATTTTAAACATATATCATTTTCTAAAGTCTTCGATCATATTCTGGAAGCTTGATCTTCAAAAAAAAAGGAATTTTTGAGATTTATTATTCTTTAATCAAATAGGTTTACTGCTTCTCTTGTATTTAGAATTCCATTGCAACTTATGTCGATTTAAAATCGATAAAATTTTGGTTTTTCGACGTAAAACATTAAAAAAATTTTTTGGAAATTAAATAAAGATATCTCAGAAATTTGCAAACTTTGATATTCGAAACATTGCAAATGGTCTATCATTCTTGGGATATTTTTGTGATATCCAAGGGCAATTTCGGAAAGTACTAGAAATTTGTTTGAATACTGAAGTTGACCTATAAGAAAAATGGATCGAAATGTGACACTGGTTGGTGTCAGGGATACACGAAATGGCACGGGACGTGTGGCACATACTGGCGCGTCTTATGAATGGCACGGACATTACGACAAGGTGTGGCACGTTATTTCGCGTCATACGGAATGACACCTTTATTTCACGGAAAGGTATGTGTTAAAAGTCTCGTTTCACGGAGAGCGAAAGATCAATAAACGACTTTTTTTTTTTTTAGAAAAAATTCTTTCTCACAATTTCACTTCGCTGATGAAATTGCCGAGTATCTTAATAAAAAAAATGGTACGGTACGTAAATTTACGTGCAATTACCCGTGCCAATTGGACTAGTAAGTGTTACAAAACCCGAACCATCATTAATGGTCCAACTGACACTGGTATACGGTCCAACGCGAACCAACAAATCCGTACCAATTCAAACTTCTTGTGTACAAATCCGGTTTTTAATCCTTTGAAAAATTTCGGCATTATTAAAACCCCGCACAAGTTGCGTAACCACATGGCTGAAGATCGATAGAACCCTTCTTTCGCATCATTTATTAACAATTACAGTCAATCAATAACGGAAATACGGAGAACCGTTAGGGTGTGCAACGGCCTATAGGCAGGGTCAATGATTATCATTAATTGCGGGTTTTTTATTGGAATCGATGCACACATATTAATCTTATTAAAACAAAAATTAGATTTATTGAAATAAATAATCAACTAATAGAGCACTATATATGTTTTTTTTTTAAAAAAAAATTGAACCTCAAGGCTAGCTCTACACTGAAATAGAGCTATTTTTTTTTTAAATATTTTTATAAAAAATCTTTAGAATAGCATATCGTTTGATTAAATTATTTATTTCAATAAATGTAATTTTATTTTGGTAAAATTCATAGCGATAATCATATTAATGTGGGCTTAATAAATTGGTTCCTATTACTTTAAAATCCCGAAAGCAATTTTTAATACTATCGGGATTTTGAGCATCGGAATTTTAAGTATCAGGATGATCCTGGCTTTATATATGGTTTTAATAGGGCCCTAGCGCTAGAGACCCGTATAACTGATAAGGTATAAATTTTACTAAAAGGTTTTAACTTTTCTAAAAACTATTAGGTCGAAATTCTATGGAAACTTTGCCTAAAAAAATTTATTATTATGATTCGAAAAAGTTTGTGATAAAGCTTCCATTTTTGTCACTTAATGTGTACATTTAATTTTAATTTTAAAACCCAAACTATGTACGTACGTACGTAATAGTAATGTCATAATTCAAAAAAAAAAAAAAAAGATTTAGTCGCAACCCCTAGCTGGTACGCAAATTTGCATAATATTTAAATCAACAGCCTTCTGCGACCTAATAAAAAATACATATATATTGATTTGAAATTTTTGATATTTGAAAATTATTAATCCAAATCTAGCATTATAAAATTCTAACCTTTTTATTTTTTTTTTATTTTTTTTTTATTTTAATCATCATTTATCATTATTATTAATTTTTTGGATTTGTCGTTTTTTTTTTTTTTTATTTTGGAGATCGGAAACGAAAATAATTATTAATGACTTGATCCTTGTGGGGCAGGAAGGGCCCGCACAATCGTCGCAAGGCTCGTGGGAACGAGAACCGCCAAGGTGAAGCTTGAAAAATACCGTTAATTGTCTATGGGTGGCAATAAGAATTAAATTTCATGAAGACTGAGGGAGTTTATATAATTTTAAGGAAAGCTTCGTAGGCGAAGTAATCATAAAGCGACAATGTAAGAACTAATGAGGTTGAATTAAAGTTTGTCTAAGCCTACAAGCCGTATCCGTGGCTGCGGAATCCAAAGACCGTTATGTAAAATTACATTGACAGCCCATTAATTTCCATCAAAGCCTGAATTGATCAACATGACAATTATTCATTTTCAAGTCTCTAAGCCATATTAAACCCTTAAAACGAAGCGACAATAACCTAAAATCAAGCAGACACATGTTAAAAACGACAAACTGTTAGTACAAACTATACTTTTATAAACAAATGTTATTGATTCGGGTTTAAAACTAGGTTGAGTTAAAAAAAATTATTAAGATTTTCAGAAATTATAATTTTTACTGAAAAGGCAAATTAAAAAAAGTCAATTTAGTTTTTTAATAGTCAGCATGGCATATTGTACTACGTGAAGATCGTAATTTGTTCTTGATGATATTATTTAAATTCTTTTTTATTTTTGTTTTGTTTTTGTTTTTTTTAACAAGGCTTCTTTTCGATAGGAGAAAACCCTTCGTAGAGGTACAGCCTCTAGTGAGGCTTTTAGGATATTCGTATGTTTGTCATGAACAAATAAAATCATGACATTTTTACTATATTTACAACAGAAACCAGCTTTCATGCTAAGCCTACACAACAGTTCAGTGTAGATCTGAAAATGCATACACTTTAATGCCAATAATCATGGTCAAAGCCTCAAAAGTACGCACGTACATACGTACGTGCGTGCGTACGTAAGAAGCACAGCCTTGCCTTCATAATATTTATTTATTTTTTTTTCTTTTGATAGAATGGATTAGCATATCTTAATAAAGTAAGATACGATCTAGAAAGATGTCACAAAGCAAATCTTGTGGCTAAAAAAAACATTACGAATCATTCTCTAACACGAGATAAACAAATGCAGCTTGGCCACCTTGAGTTTCGAAATAGAGGGAGGTTGAATACTTTATCTATTATTAGCAAAGTAAAATTACGTTTAATCTCACACCATTTGAAGAAGATTACGTACTCATAAATTTTTGTTTCAAATTATCAGAGCCCATATAAGTTATGTAACATATTTA